CTTGTGGCTTTTATCTTTCTAATCTCATCATAATAGCATCTTTAACATTTTAATAATAAATAAGAGGCGCATTTTCACCCATTGTTTTAATAGGTTATTATACTGTCGTCATATCAATTGTTATCCTCCAAGAAATCAAATGCAAAAATTAGCCGATTTTCGTACTATGTCTTAAAATGGTTTTATCCGAAAAATACCAACATCAACTACAGAAGTTATTCAATCTACAATTTATCATGTTGATGGAAATGAAATTTTACATCTCAAAAACACCATGTTATATTTTATATTATACTATCATTCATATCATAGTTTGTAAATAATAAGTCTTAGTATGAGGCAATATGGCATACTGTAAGTTATTTTATAGGCTTTATTTCGATGTTATAACATTGTACCGGAAGCTGCAAAGCCTAAACGTTTATATCTGTATGCCAGTGCTGTCTTAAATATTTGTTATTAGCCTTTATAATTAATTATTTAGTATAGTTGAACTTTACGAGATTTATTAGACTCGGCAATTACCGTAGTATTTCAGACTAAATAATCACTCATCGGCTAAAAGTGACATAATATGTATTATCATTATTCAGCTTCTCGTTTAGCAAAGCGGCCGAATAGTTTGCTGTATACCTATATGGTATAGTGGGCATAAAGACTAAAGTTAAGTCTATCAGAGTTTCTTCTTCATATTTTATTATTTCTGTATGCTTACAGATACAGTATTGCAAATCCAGAGACCTTATGCAGAATATTTCATATATTGCATTAGAAATGAAAGTGTATTTATAAAAGGTACTAGTACTTAAGAGATACTAAATGAAATACTAAATGATAAAATATTGATCACATTTTATATACAAAGTATACAATGTAATCGCTGTTGTACTCAGTATACGAAAAAATTGAAGCAGCGATCTTTTCTATACAATTTTTCACCCTTATTATTTAGAAGGATTGGCATCCTGTGCATTCATATTCTAAACTTTCTAATACTTACGATACGGTTTCATAAATGAAGTATTGCATCTTATAAATATTGTAAATGAATTATAAAAGAAATTAGGTCCGTTAACTCCTGAAGCGGATATGAATGATAATATTTGTGCTTCGACAGGTAAGGAATCATAAACGGCCTGGAAAAGGATAACCTAAACATTTGCATGTTCTGACTCATATGCGTTACCACAGTTCGATAAGCTGCAACCCACGCGATAAAAACACAATTTATATTCTCTTTTGTGTTTTCTATAATACGAGAACTAAAAATACCAACAGAATTTCTGGATTGTGGTCATAAATTGCTAAAATAAGTAAACCTTGAACTTTGATATTAATAATTCTATTGTGCTTTTTTATGCTCAAGGCTTTACGTAATAGCTTGTTCACATTTAAAAGATACTTATTTGAGGTAAATACGTCAAGCTGGTAGTGATATTGCCTTATTATACATTTTTAAGCAAATATCTTATCCATAATGGAATTGAGTAATAGCATGTGCTTTGATTCTTATAACGTATCTCGTTAATGTTACGTTTGCCTTGCTCAAGCGGGTAAGCATATCAAAAAATTAAGTATTCATTATGATTAACAATTTTTGGTTACTATTACCTCTTAAAGTTGCTAAGCACGTACTGTCCGTAAAGATGCTTAAGTTTTGAATAACAGAGGATATAATTTTCATTCAATTAATAGTTTTCAAATCTAGGACTGTGTTTATGTCGTAGTTGAATACACACAATGTATCATGTGGCGTATTATTATACAGTAATTTATCAAGGTTTAAACAGTGAGTGAAAAATTGATAATGAAATATTCCAGGTGATTCAATTTGGTTATTCGTTATTCAAATAAATTTCTAACGAATATCTAAACTATTTACCTTCTATGGTAGCCTGAGGTTACTATTAAATTTCAAAATCTTATTATACTTCACAATCGAGTTTCTAAAGTGCTTACACCTGTAAGCTAACAAGCCGCAATAAAGTATTGAATGATAAGTTTGGTGGGCTTTAACAAATAGCATCTTGTATTTGCACCTAAGATTACAAAATGTTTATGAAATAGTATTAATTAAATGGATTCATGATTGACTTTGTGGCATGTTTAACTTAAATTACGCCTTGAACTAAATTCAACATTTCACTATATTGATGATTGCAAAGTTGCAATTACGCTATTACTATTGCTCTATAACTGCTTCGCTAGCTAGTGACTGCTTTAATTTAATCAACTACTGCAGTTTGTTCGATCCATCATTCCCGAAATTTTACAGCGTCTTACATATTAAGATATTCTTTGAGGAGAAAAATTTGAGAATCTTATGTAATGATGATTTATTGCGACAATAACTAGGAAAGTCTCTTTCTTTCACTATACTAAACGGTAGACAGGTGTTGAAATTACGTAACAAAATCTATTAGAAATAATGTAATAGTAATTAATATGATACAATCAATCGAAAAAATCGCAGGTAGTGTGAAAATCCTATAAATGGTAATAAAAATTTATCATGGTAATTTTGAATGACGTATCGTTATTTGATTACATTTACCATCCTCTGTCTCATAGTTTGATGTTACCAGATGATGGGTAACGATTATGTAATAAATATTTAAAATCTCCATTATGCTTAAAATGTTACCGCATGTAAGCGGTAAATTAAATTTAAAGTAAATCTGCTAACATGTTAATATACTGATGATGAGACATGATAGTTTTTCATCGAAGGTTTTTACTTCACTTGTTAGTCACACTAACTCCGCTGCTGTAATTGAAAATCATTTCCGATCTGTATTGCAGGTCAAAAACTTTAGGATATTATTCCATTGTAGACGTTAATAATACGTTTGAACGGAATAAGGCCGTAGTTGACGAGACATATTTACAGTAATATCATGAGCCTGAAAAATTTGCAAAATTTATCGTTAATATCATGACAGCACTCAAGATTTTCATGAATAGGATGTCTTACTGAAAGTTTTAGAAATAATATATGATTTTTGGGTAAAGTAATTGTATTACGATATTTTTTATTAATTTTGACATTCCGTACACGCCTTGCGTGTGGTCAATTAGTCTCATGTCATTTTCACAGCTTTCTTCTATAATATTCCTGGAATTAATTATGAGACAGTGATTAAATGCTCTTCATATAGTAATTATGTGAGCACCAATTCAATGCAATCCTGAGAACCTTCCAACAATAAAGAATTATACTGTACTTCATATTACATCTTAACAGAGAAATACTGTCTGTCATTGTAACCATAATTCCCGTTTATGTGATTGTTACTAGAAGTTGCAAACAGTTTCTACTGTTAAAATTTATTTCAGAGTACCGTATAACTGGAAATCAATATATGTCGGAGCTAAGATTAACTACTATGTAGTCACTTTAGATAACTATAACAAATAATACCTTACTTTTTAATTGAACTATCAAGCATAGATATACCTAGCCAGGCGATTACTAATGAGGCATTTAATTTAGAAATAATATAAAGTAGGCTAGACTGGATGACAATTTCTTTTAAACATTCTAATATTTCTCGCTGATATGCGCAATTGCGAAACTGACCGTGTTATATAATCGTATGTAATGAGACAGTTGCTGTATATGGTATGTTATTCAATTTTGTCATTGATATCCCGTCTACGTAATCACTAAAGCTTTAAATCATTTAATTGCGTTTATTAAATACAAAACAATAGCCAATTCAACTAATCTATACCAAGAATAAGGACGCGATTTCAAATTTTTTAGTTCATCTAGAACGGATAATTTACGACTTTTATTAAATTTTAACCTTTTTCCATCCTCTATCACGTGATAATTACCTATTGGCCCCAATTTTTATTTTACAATATAGCTACCTGATAGGATTACTTTTCCGCTAATAATCATTAAAGCACTTTTAATTTTCAGCAAACGAGCATTGCCGCTGTTTGCTTAAATCACTCTGCTGGATCAAAAGGTGAGGTATAAATAGAACGATACAAATGCTAGGATTACTTGAGTCAACAAATTATTTTTATCAAATCTTTTACTCATCAACTGTTGTAGGCTATAAATAAATAATATGTATATTGCCATGCCTTATGGATATGCAAGCAATTTTTTATAGCGCCTTAAGATGATCGTGGACTGTTTAAAATAATAATATGGGCAACCCTTGAAACAATAATATCCCTATATAAAAAGATGACCAGCTATTGTTAATTGATAGTATCTCTATGGGCTCCTATCTTGAATTACAGGCTAATTCTATTATTCAATGATTAATAATTAATGTATTGATATAAAATCTTTAACAACAGAGCATAACTACAGCTAAAACATATTATGGTTTGTATCGTATTGTCTAGTAAACAGGATGTCAAATATTAAAGGTAATCAAATATAATATTATACCACCTGGAAAAAATATGATTATTCATATAGTAGGCTCCAGTTTCATTAATCATAAAAAGAAATCATGTTTATTCATTCTATTCAATTTAGATGGCAAGCAGAAGAATGCTTTACAGTGTTTGCAGTGCCTCGAATACTCGGTGCTTATTCTATTGTTGTTTGTCTAATCTCTTTAATTGCTAACATCTATAAATAGTGCTGGCACCCTTTGCCAAAAAATTTTGAAGTTGCACCTTAGAGAACTCATCGATTGAGTGTACTTGTCCGTAAATCGAATCAAAAATTGTTCAAAGTCCTACTCAGAAAGTAAGCTTCTTATCATTATTTTATCTTATCGTAGTGATATGTTTGATAATTTATTTATGCTAAGCATTAAAATAAATTAAATGAACAGCAACTACTACTAGTAAATATCATGTATGATTTGATGTATCTGTCAAATTATCGCCAACTTGATCATATCGGCTATCCAATGGTGCTAACATTTAAATTCTAATTTTATGGCCGATTAATGTAGGGATAATTTTATATTTTGACTGCAATCAATTCTATCAGAGGTAGTTATTAAATTAAAAGCGAATTAAAGATGACTTCCATGGCGTACAGACTCTTAGCCGTAACCGTTACAATGCTATTAACTACTTCGCTAATGGTAAGCTTTACCAGCTACAGAATGTTAATTTTTGTTTTCATTTTTACACATTTAATGCGACGTATTTTGATACAGACAAATGATATTTCGCATATGCTTATCAACAGCATCGCTAGCATATAGTCTTACATCTTTTATTCAATGAGTAATGTACTATGATCAAATTGTAAACACTGAAATAGATATTTTAGATAATAAATATCGGCTTCACATCGTGTTTATTTTCATATGTTAATTCTCATAGAATTAATACCAATGATTCTGTATCGGCTTCAGATAAATTTTAGTTAAATGAAAAACAGTAGACTGCATTGTTATAGGATCTTAAGCATAATCATATTCACTCATTGCCAGTATAGAAGTGATGAAAAGTAAATAGATGGACAAGAAATCGATAGCTAAAGATCTTTAATTGAAGCAAATTAAGAAAAAGTAAATGACTTAATAAGCGAGATTATTACATATTCCAAGATATCCTATCAATATAAAGCCAATATAGAATAGTCCGAATATCAAATAACATTAGTAATATCAAGAATTGGTGTAATAACTACTATTTTTCGCAGAATTAAAAGTATAATCTATAGAATACCATAAAAGTATTAATTCTATATACTGTATAGTAAAGTAATTGTAATTTACACCTCTGATCAATTCTATTATACGCGTCAGTAAATAGCGATATGATACCCGATATCTTTCTTTCATATCATTACATTCCAATAGCAGATACAATGCACGACACGTTGATCTGATATCTTATTCACGAAGTAATAAAAAGACATACTTTCTAGTCACAGAATATAGAATCGACCACTAGAAAGTCTTACAGCACTATAACTAATGATGCTAAGTTCAAAATTTTAAACTATGCATCAGTTAATCCACAGCTAACTTTAATTATCAGCTATGATTAATTTGCGTTCTCGCTTATCCTACAGGCATTTGCTAAAGATAATTATGATCTGCTCGTTAATAAATATCTGACTTTAAAATATCACATCTATTTAGTTTGCTTTGTAAACATTCATATTTTAATTTTTCCTATAGGCTTTTGCTATAGACAATTATGATCCGCTAGTTACTAAATATCTAACTTTAAAAATATCATTTCTATTTAGTTTGCTTGTTACAAATATTCATATTTTCGTTTTTCCTATAGGCTTTTGCTAAAGATAACAATGTCAGTGAAAAAGATTCTAATTCCGAAAATAGCAACGACATCACTAAACGTGGGGGGCAACCAGCGGGCGATCTATCGGATTACTTTTGTGTGATAGAATGCTTGGAAGATGACGAAGATAGAGATGTAAGAGCAATTCGGGAAGCCAAAGATTTCCTGGACCATTTACCAGAAATTACCCATTCCCAAGCAAGATATAATTCGGACAAGATTGGCACACTGTTTAATTTGTATGAACGCGGGCGTAGGCAAGGTAGACGAGCAATGCTCAATGACATTATGTCGGGCTTAATCCACAATAAGGGTGTCTTTAAAGCTGTCAGCAGAGATGAACTGGAGGATGATGAGAATGAGAAAGCAAACTGCAGTAAAGAATGTATGTTTAAAGGATTTTTTGGCCGCGACAGCAAACCTGATCGTATTGAAAAGGAACGAGAGAATGCAGTTATGACCGCTTTAAAACATCGCTTTTACGTCGGCCAACCTATCCGATACGTAGAAGATATTATTGGAGAAGGCAAAGTAGCAAAGAATACAGAAATTAGGCACCGTCAACAGATGAAAAATGCGGAAAATAATTTTAAATCATATTTAAGAAAAATATCCCTTCGAAATGGTCGATTTAACCTCAATTATAACTAAATGAAATTAATGACATTTTGCAACGACGTTGGCACTCTGCCCATCAGCAACTATCCTCTTAGAATACAATATAGAAGCTTACACTTGTAGTATTAGGATCTTATTTAGGCATTTAATATAGAGAAAGTTGTTCTCTCTGTTGTCATCATTATGAATTACTGGAATACAACTCTAACATGGAATATTGCTATCGTTGTACTCTTCTCTTATAATCACTTTATTTTGCCTTCAACGCTGCCAAATGTAGTGGACAATGATACAGCTATTTATGTAAAGGGTATTACGCTAAAATACGCTCTTCCTACCTTGTCTATAGAGTACAATAATAATTATGATAATGTGCCTCAATGTTAACGCAACAATGGCAATATTGCATATTTTTCCTAATTCTCCTAGCATGATGGTGGTGAGCGATAACTAAACGTCATTTAGTCAGCATGAATATAGCAATGTTGCATTGGACTATAACTTTATCGCGACTTTGATACAGAATGTTTGTTTCAATAACATCGCGTAGTCCGTAAATAGCATTCAAAGTTATTGTGCAATTCATTTTATCCGTTTCATTGAAGACGCTACATTTCAGTTATTTGCATATGCGTTTGCATTAATAGATCCAATAAATAAATAAATAATAAGAGAAATATATACACTTCAAAGAATATAATCAATCAGGCATGATGGAGAAAAACAACCTGACCTATTTTATTTGCAAGTCAATGTTGTCGAAATTTCTGCCATTTGACCCTTTCTATGATAGATGCTGAGTGACCTGGAATGGAAAAAAATAAAGAAGTAGCACCCGTCCAATTGTAAATAGTGTACGCATACTGTTCATTTTTAAATCTCATGCACAACCCTATGCTATTCCTTTAGAAGTCATAATACCATTCTCAGATTCCAACTCCTGTCAAGACTCCATTTTCCTTTTCAGTATTAGCAATCGATCTTGCAGTCTGCATTGTCCATCGGAGGATCATGTGAAATGAGTCAAACAATGCATCCGCCTTGGATTTCACTTTCTCATTAAATCCTTGTTTTGACATTAAATTCTATCTTTATTGATTCCATCTCAACTACGATATTAAGACAGAATACTGTCAGTTCTGTATTGTCGCAGTTGATTATTCGTGATTGCTGGAAGGGGTCGATTATATCATCTATCCATCCATCCATCAAATGATATTGATGCAATTCTACGTGTGTCACGTCATGAACTACCAGATGTTTCCCCATTAAGTAGTCCATGGTCACGCAATAGCGTGAAATTTCCAGGCGTTTTAATTGGGATTTATTCTATATTCTTCTTCAGTAGTTGCACCTTGCAGCTGGTGATAATGTACCCATTTGAGTGCGAAGTTTACTGAATTTATGATATACCTAGTCAGTTTTGGAAAATAGGTAATTAATGCCAAAGAGTGAGTTTTATATAGAACAATCGTATCGATAGGCAATCATCCTGATTCCTTCCGCTCGCGTTGATGGCTCTCAAGCGGATGCCTGCCAACTAAGAAATGATTATTTTGGGCATTTTGTGATCGAAGCAGGAATGCCCCCCCCCCCATTGCATAGCAATCCTACGATAGCTTTAAACCAGCGATGTTGCATTTCACCGGCGTAGACTACTACGCCCAGCACTGCTAAAACAAGACTTAATATACACTCTGTAGTTCATTGGATGAGTTTTTAGTCGTGTTTTCACTGCAATAATCGATCGTGCATAACATCATTTTACAGTATAGCTGTGCATTATGTAGTTCATTGGATGAGTTTTTAGTCGTGTTTTCACTGCAATAATCGATCGTCCACAACATCATTTTACAGTATAGCTGTGCATTAATTAAGTGTGCAATCCACTGCCTCCATCCGTATGGATGTTCCGGTTGATCCAGAGAACAGTACAGTTGATGCTCTCGTGTTCTACAGTACAATCAGTGTACTGAGAATGGTGAAGGTGAGATCATGGAAAACTAACAGACTACCCTAAATTTGATTCATTTTCTACTCTCAGTGGCCTAGTAGTCTTGCACATATCATGAACTACTGCAAGAATACTAATAATGAATTAATCAAAAATTTTTACAACTTTTCCTAATCCTCTTCGACATTGACATTCAGTGCTGGAGCCTGGAGGTGGCGTACAGCAACAACTTTTCTTTCAGCTTCAGTACCGTAGAGTACAGTGTACAGTGTATAGTACAGTACACTGTACACTGTGAGTAGTGAACCCTAGTCTTTTCATAGAAGTCCTACAGTACGAAAGACCTACTGTACAGTGTACAGTACAGCCTGCAAATCCTGCACACACGTACTGTACACTATACACTGTACAGGAAGTGCTCTCTGCATAATCGATAGGATACACTCGAGCCCGCCATACGGTACCGATGGCCATCAAAATATTACTAGTAACATACACTTATTCAACCGGCCTGTTGGGGCTGCAATAGACGTCGGCTACACTCACTCGCGACACTGTACTGTACTGTTTGGAGAGTGGTTCACCTAAAGACTTGTGCGACTGGGGAAATCTTCATTTGGCTGCTATGGTAGCAAAACCGATTTCATTGGCCTAACGAAAAATGAATCCACCACTTTATCAATGCAAAATTGTAAGCAGTTAGAATAAGTAGATTGATTAGCAGAAATCGATTAGTGCTATAGGCATTTACTGGACGAGCTGATAGTGATGCTATGGCAGATTGTGGTAGCACTTTAGTACTTGTGTGTACCTGTCAAAGTCACGTAGATATAGAATAAAATAGAGAATATGGGAAATATGGATCGATGTTATTGTTATCATCAATACTGTAGTCTATTCTACTGTATGGTATATGATTAGTTTGCTAAAGCAATATCATTAGGTAAGCCAGAGAGAATGCTTAGATAGCTTATTCGCTAGGAGATACCATGTCGGTCTGTAGCTTGCTGAAATAGGAAAGTTTATCGTCAACTGTAAGATTGTTATCAGTTCCTGGCGTTGTCATGATATCAAGCAATAGAGCCTTACAACAGTTGTAAAGTGTTGTATAATGAATTCATCGATCATATCGTCCATAATTAATGAATAAATCAATCTATGCGACAAATTGCTGTCAGGTGTTGCATTTCTCACGCGATGATGATAGTATGGTAGAAGAGAAATCCGTTGCTGCCTCCTCAACCGATATAGGACAGATTAACCTTCCAGTTGTTGCCTCCCTTAGGCAACATACTGTACGACATGCTCAGCTACAGTAATAAACGAATGACAGCCAACGTAGTAAACAGAAACAACAATACAGTACAAGAATAAGAAAATCAACCTAGCCATGTCAATACTAAATTTATGCGAGTGCTGACGTAGTAGTAGCGCTCGAAACGTCTACACTAGTACACCTGTAGAGAGAGATGCATTACCTCACTTCCTGACTTATTTAAAGTTATTTTCAATAATGTATATGATTGTCCATTGCATATTAAACTGCAGCAGCTGAAAATTATATGCTTTATAGATTTTCTTATTAACAGAAATTGTACTAAAATGAAAAAATTTATTCATCAGCCATCAGATTGGTGATTGTTGCTTGGATTGAAACTTGAATTTGGTGAAAAATGTCCTCCAGTGCCACCCCATCTTCTACACGAAAGAATGTATGTTGTTAATAATATTGACGTAGGATCAATGAATAGCTTGCACATTTTAGAAGTAATTGTGAAAATAATGCTACTATGCTGATGGATGTTCATTTTGAAGCAGTGGCATATTATAACTCCTCCATTTGTGAGAAATTACTGAAATCCCTTTTGATAATAAATGTATAATTACTGTAATGAGTATAGGCTGTATTACACTTACAAATGCTATATCTCAACCATAATCTCAGATCCTGTAGCCATTTACCCCATGAGTGCTGTAGGAAACTGGATTAAGTCTACAGTCCATTTTATTATCAAAAACTTATTTTACTTACTGTACTTAGCTGTATTGACCATATCATAATAATCTATAAGCTGCTATGCTTAACGCATTTTTCTTGCTGAGTATGCTTGCGAATACCTTACCCTTATTGTAGGGCGATCGCGGGTACCGCTATAGACTTGGCAATACTTCTATTAGTGCTAACTGTGAGAATTCTTAGGATTGATAGCTGCAAGAGCATATCTCTCTCCACATATGAGAGGGTACTACAATCATAGATTTTTTTAAATAACTTTACAACTTAACGAAACATCAAATCGCCATGCCGGTTATGTTAGCGACAGCTGATCTGTCAATGATACTCCCATAGTCGTTGCAATTGCACATGCAAAACAAGATTTTCAATATACCTGCTGCTATAAGTTTCACGTACGATCGATATCAAGAGCTACCAAGCTAACTACAGTATACAGTTAGCATCATACGTACTACCATACAGATTTAAGCACGACCGAGTAACGTTATTGACAAACAGTTTAGACAGTAACAATAATCTCAAAACTTATTGTAAAACTTCCCACTGATTTGCTATCGAATGCCTCGTAGTCACTTAAAGGAACACATTCCCGACTTCAAACTACCTTCGGACCGTCTAATTTTGCGCCGATAACTACCGTGACACCTGGTGAGTTAAAGCAATTCAAATTGTATTACAATCTAGACATCGGTCATTTGACTAATTTTACATTATAATTATTTATACTTGCGCAAATGTGGTAAATACCCTAGTAAATATGTAGTATACCTATGATCTTCCTAGGTTATAACTTTATTAAATGTTATAACCTAATACTCTATGTTTATTTTATTCTAATACTGTCAAATAGTGGATGACGATTTCCTAGATGTCGAAGATGATTCAAGGCCTTTTAGTAATAACAGCAATGCCTTACCGCCTCCGGAAATAATATCACCTGAATTTAGAAATGGAGCTACCGCATTGGTATTTATTTAATTACGTTCAACTAAAAAGTCTTAAGACAGTTGTTATTATAATAATTATATTTATTGCTGGGTTAACTTTATCGGAGCTGTATTGGCACAATCCATTGTTATCTTACAATCTTACTGTACAAATTGTTTTATCGATCGGAATAGATGAGACTTTTCTTCTATTTAGGCTCGTCTTCCTCCTCCGGATGCTATCACTTTGCCAATACTACCTCGCACTTTCTCAAACGTATCTGCGCGATCGTTCTATACTGTTAATAGCGAAGATGGCGATGACGAAGTAAGTAATTTTTAATTCTCTGATTGATACAAGTAATGACAGCAAACGATTACAAGCGCATATTGAGTGGCTTTTAATTATCTTAATTTTATGCTAATTATGAAAGGTTACAGAGGAACTATTCATCCAGGAACCTTCCAAAAATCTTCGTTGTTTGCTTTGTCAGCGCATAATGAAAGAACCGGTCGTTGCCAGTTGTGGCGTAAGTTAAGCTTCACATGCGTGTCACGAATTTTAATGTAAATAACTTTACCTATAAAATATTTATAAATTTCTCGCTGTTCTTTCACTAGCACACATTTTGTAAAAGATGTATAGAAACATCAGGTATTTCGTTTTATCGTCAAGTGCTATCTCATTAAGTAAACAACTTTTCTACAAGAATACTTACTTTCTTGAGCTAAAATACAGTATATTTAATTTAAATCCAAGTGCTTGGAAACGAAAGATGTCCTTCGGATAATAATACACTGTGTGCGGTAGCCGCAAATTTAGCAGTTAGTATAGTTAATTCTTTAGCAATTACTTCTTCACATGTTAGAGATATAATTATTATTAATTGTTGATTCTAATTATGATAACTGTTCTATAATTTAAAGGTATCTGAACAAATAGGGGAACTTGTAGTCCACTGTAGCTATGGCTGCAGACAAGATTCCCAAACCGGGTGTTTAGTCGTCGATGAAGAGGGTTAGTCAATGTTGATTTCCCGGCTGTAACGTTGTAACAGTATTTGTCAATTTGTAATAATACTTGATCTTACTCCTCAAAATTATTTTATTAGGATGTCCAGCAACCGTGAAATTAAAGGAGAAGAAGTTAATATCCTCTATATTTAGTCTATGATGTTGCACCATTTAAGGTAGTAGGGTTGTTTTAATATTGTTATTTACAATACCTATAGAAATCATGAAAATAGCTGCCGCTATGCCCCGGTGCAGTGCCCTAATAGTAAAATCTGTCCTAAGTTACTTCGCATGGTAAATATGGCGACGTGAATTATATCTTAACTTTATAACTATTTTTCTTACTTTCTTATACTAACTTTCACGTAGGACCTAGAAAATCATTTATCCACATGTCAGTTTTGTTCTTGTCCTAATAAAAGATATGGGTAAAATTTAAGTAGCCTGATTTCGTACGTACAGTTATATAGCATAATGTTCTAATGTATAAATCACCCTCTCAGTTGTAATTTTGAGGGAAAACTTGCTGAATTAGATGAACATTTAGAAGTTTGTAGATATCAAGATTTTAAGGTAAAAAGTATCGACAGTTTTGCTATTTTATAATCCAATACACTACCGTCAGAATCTGCAATCTAACCAACCAAATTGGTCATGCTTTCAATAGGAATACTTTGAAGATGTAGATGATAAGGTTCATGAATTGCAACAAATTATTAAAAAGAAAGATCAGGTCGGTACTTTCTGAATTGGCAAAATTACGTTAAAGTTGAAGTTAATGCAATTGGAGATAGTATAATAATACTTTCCTGTTTTTGTTTAAAATCCGTCATATCATTCTACCGTGACAAAGTGAATTTTAACCAATAGTATTGGCATATACGTTAATCAATAACTAGTATTTTTATTATATTTAGGATATTTCCTATTTACATTCTGTTTTATTAAACATCTCTGAAAGACTTTTAAAATTAGAGAAAACTGTAGATATCCGGTTTGGTAAGTTAAGATTAGACTTCAGTTGTAGCTCTTAATGCTAACTGTGTGTAACATTTCAGAGGTGATTAGTGATAACCAGACTAAACTGGCGGACGATATCACAGGATCAGTTAGGGCAATTAATCAAATATCTGTAAGTTGCCTTAGCAAACTTAAACAAATATGGTGCTATCAATTTTAATGATAATCTACAATGTTTATTTGTGAAGAATGAAATGGTAGATTTGCAGGCAAGAATTGGAGCCGCAGGAAGTTAGTAACTTATATATAGCGAAATCTTTAAAACAATGTCAAGATAGCTTTATTCTGTTTACCTAGATTTTGAAGTGCAGACAATGTTCAAATGTCAGGGAACTTTCGTTGGACACCAGGTAATGCTAAATTATGTTACGGGTATTTTCAAGTTGGTTAGCAAATCTGAAAATCTACTTACGATCCCTGGTAAAATTTTTAGGGTCCAGTATGGGCTTTAGGAGTTCATGCTGATTTCCTCTTTAGTGCATCATCGGATAAAACCATAAAAGTAACTGAAATAAATCATCCTATTACTGCTGGCACTCAGGGTTTAGAATTACTGATTTTTCTTTAAATTTTGATAGGTATGGGACACGAAAAATAGCTACAAATGTATAAGAACACTAACCGGACATAAAAATATTGTTCTTGGACTTTGTGTTCACGGGTAAGTATTCCTCTCATGGTTAACCTTGTAATGAGATTGTAAAACTGATTCCAGCTACTGGTGCATGATAACTGTATTAAGACTGAACAATAATTATTACTAAGTTTGTGCTACTATTTTATTGCAACAGAACGAATCTCTTTAGTGGATCTTCAGATAATACTATTAAAGTATGAAATATAAAGCAGCGTGCATTATTTCATTTTGAACAAAACGGATTATAATATTTAATGGTAATCTATATTCTGTATTAGGTTTGGGAAATTAGCACTTTAGAAATGTTAAAGACTATCAGTGCACATGACAATCCAGTATGTACACTAGCGACGTCATCCGATTGGTTGTTCAGCGGCTCCCACAAAATAATAAAGGTACGACTATTCTTGTAAACGGAAACTGTTTTGACAGTTATATTCTAGGCTGTGAACTTTAAACCTATCTTAGACTTGATCCCTAACTCAGAACGTCTTAACTAGGTCTGGGATATTAAAACCTTTAAACATTACCATGATTTAACTGGGTTAAATCACTGGGTGAGAGCGCTAGTTTGCAAAGATGATAAATTATATTCTGGATCATATCAGAATATCAAGGTATATTCAGACTACCATACTATTTATAAATCTTTCCAGCAATATAAGTACTTTATGTTTGATTACCGATAATGTATAGATATGGGATTTGAATACCTTCGACTGCAGTTATGTATTACAAACATCTGGGGGAAGCATTTATTCATTAGCCGTTACAGAATCGTATATTATATGTGGAACGTATGAAAATAATATTCATGTACGTCAGTTTGGAATACTTATAATTATAATATTTAAAAGTTGACTTATTTTAGCCGTTGATTCTTATACTGTAGGTATGGGATGTCCTATCATATGAACAGCAAAAGACATTAGCTGGTTTGTGATATTCGTATCGGACATATTTGATAATCTTGCAATCTCATTGTAACGATTACTATTGTTGGTGTTTATCAGGTCACACAGGCACAATTTATGCCTTAGCGGTTATAGATACTCCATCACAACCGAAGCTATTTAGCGCTTCAAATGATAAAACTTTACGGGTCTGCCTAAAACTATCTTATGCTTATATATTGCGGCACATTTTACAACTAATAACCATATTTTTGTACTGATAATATCATAATAGGTTTGGAGATTGGGTTCTTTTGATTGTGTTCAAACGATGGCTAGGCATGACGGAAGTGTGGCTTGCTTGGTTGTTTCAAATAATAGAGTTTTTTCAGGAGCTTTGGACAATACTATCAAGGTTAGCTTTCTATTTTTGTCTATGTCTATCGGTACCGCATAAATTTCATAAAGAAGTATAGTATGTATCAACCAATTACGTACTGATATGGAGTTGGGCCATAACTCTGCTTCCTTTATTTACAACAAAATAAACCGGTATATACGTATGAACGTGCATAGAGTATCTGAATTAAATGAGATGTAATTATAATTAATCATTATGCAAGTGTTATTACCGTCTGATGTGCTGTGTACTCTATGTATTTCCAGATTTGGCAGTAACTGGCAATTGATCGGTTCAATTCTTCTATTGGGTGTATTCGAGAATCTTCCGCTTTTCATATTTGCACCAGATATAGATGGCTTCATAGTATTTCCCGGCGTAATTAAAATTATAGAGTTTACTGTGGCGAAACCGATTCACTTTGTTTCCTTTCCTCTCTATCTATAAACTTTTATATTCTACACTGTAAATAACTATGAACTTTAAGTTGAGCAGGATGCTATAATAGTTGCAGCATAACATCAGATGGAAAATTTTTTATGTTATGAAATACACTACTTGTTTCAGAGAATAGTTTTTGACTATTTATCGCAATATGCGTGTAATGTATATTTTTTACGTAATTATATTGAATACGCTGTTTGTAAATGAGATTTTTTTACCCCATTCATTAACATATTTTTAGCTATTTTTAATTAAAATATTGAAATGAAATAACGTCCTAAAGGTAGATGAATCTTGAAGATGCTGTAATTTATTCATGATTACCGATAAATACAAAACTTGATTTGTACCAATTAAGGCAGAAATACACCTTGCACAGCTGTTCTACCTTGTTATATTAAATGAATGATTGGCCTTTTCAAATTAATCTGTTCAATAGCTGGTTAATACCATTTTGGTATATATTCACTGTAGCTACTATTTATTTGAATAAATCAACTTTTAAAATTGATTATAATTATATGCAATATATATGTAGGAGTAAATGGTAAGGATAAAACTAGTCTTATTCGTTAGTGGTTGTATCCTATGCAATTATGCATTCTACAGATGAGTAAAAGTTCAATGTTCACTCACCGACTAACTTAGAATAGATCTGGACAGAATTTTGATTGATTAATTATTTAGCGATATCGTAGAAACTGTACATTTAAGTACGGTATTTCCATTTTATTAAGAGCAATTTGATTGACTCTGGCCGTCAAGTTAATAGTTGTACAATGTGTTTCATAGCAGCGTTTGCCAAAAGGTATTCCAAGGTGCGATCGTGTGCAGTATTAATGTCACCATGGCATACTTAGTAGTACAGTACACTTCTAGTGCATGTTCTACTGTAGTATAGACGGATTTAACGGCCCGCTAGACTGGAGTGGTTTGGTGTTGCACTAGATTATACTAGGTTATACTACCGTATACTGTACGGGCAATTTCTATATTATACTGTACATGTTCACTCGTACGCTGTACATTGTACAGTACACCTGTAGTCCACACAACACAGCATTATATACTGTATACTGTATACAGTACGTAGGTGACAAAGGCTTTGCATCCATATTAAACTATCACAAGTCCAAGCTACAGCTGTACGGTGTACAGTGTACAGTATCTTGTACTGCACACTGTAGTAATGTACTGTACAGCACTGGAAGTACTGTAGTAAGGACTAAGGACTACCGGAAGAATACCTGGACCAGACTGGATATTCCTTTGGACGGACAGACATTGGGCCAACTTTGCTCAAGCAATTACAGTAGTATGTACTGTACTTCGAGTGGTCTATGACTGTAGTTTACTGCCAATACCGTACAGTACAGTACAGTACAGTAAGTGCAATGGTCACTGTACAGTGTACAGTATACTGTACAGTACTGTAAGTAGTCAGGACTACCAGAAGAATACCTGGACCAGACTGGACATTCCTTTGGACGGACAGACATTAGGCCAACTTTGCTCAACCAATTACAGTAGTATGTACTGTAATTTACTGCCAATATACAGTACTGTACTGTAAATGCGAGGGTCACGTACACCTTTTGTTATGCTACCTGTCATCTGCACTGAATGATCATCACAACGGTGTCGTCTGCAAGACCAGCTTCTGCTCAAAGTTTGCTCAAGACGGGTTTAAATCTTGTAGGATTAAGGTATTGGAGTCCACTGGAGGTGATTCAATGGCTAAAGTTATTCAAATATGTTAGCTAAAATGATCGTTGAGTGCATTCGGACTCTTCCAATACAGTAAATTACTATTCTACGCCATAGTTTGCATGATTTGATTGGTAATAATAGGCTGTGTTGACATGGATGTACTAGGGCTGCATTGATTTTTGCTGGTAAAATTGCTGCGACCAGTGGTTGATTGATTGCTGTTATTCATTTAGTTAACGATGGCTCTTATTCTAAGAATATGTAAAAGATCCACAAAAACATTGACTTGTCAGAGGTCAAGACAGGTATTGCAAATGAATAGTGACAGTTGACTAGGATGATAATAAAATTGACTCTGTTCATCAATTGTCCATGACTACGTGACAGTACCATATCCACGATTTCTTGCAAGATTAAACACAAATTCAATCACCCTCCCTAGTTACGTACGTGCAGAAAACATTTCTATCTATCCTGATGAATTTAAACCGTTGTCATGATGCAAATGAAGTGTTGGTAAGGCTATACATACAATCGACTTGATGGCCTCATGATGTAATGTCATATAATTATAGAGAGCCGTTACAGGAGTTGCAGTAATGGTTGGACTATGTGATGACGCTTTTTTTAATACATGCAATCGACTTGATGGCCTCATGATGTAATGTCATATAGTAATAGAGAGCCATTGCAGGATTTGCTGCAATGGTTAAACTGTATGTGATGACGCTTTTTAGCAGGAGCTAGTGCCAGTCATTTCGAATTTTCTACTACTGCATAATTAAATTATAGGACTATTGTCCTATATACATAGGTTATTAGCCTTAAATAAACGTATTCGTTATACATCGAACAACCACCATGCTAGGTTGATCCCTGTGCAGTATGCATTGTTCATGTTATGATCTTTCATTAGAACTGTATCGACTGCGTTGATGAGATTGTTCAATGATGCTTTGCTACAGAAAATAATAATTGATGTTCAAAACGCAATATCATTTTCAATTTTACAGTTGATGCATGTAATAACACCATTTTACAATAGGAATGAATAAGTCACAATCAGTGAAATATTAATTTTATACCATCGTTCAAATATTATCCATGAACTGCTGACATATATGCTATAGGCCACCTTGATTAGATTACTTGATGATGATTTGATACAAAGAATAATTGGTGTTCAAAACGCAATATCATTTTCAATTTTGCAGCTTATGCGTGTAGTAACAACAATTTTCAATAGAACTGAGTAAGTCACAGTCAGTGAAATATTAATTTTGTAACATCATCCTTCAAATTCGTTTATCAAAGCACTATCTCCCTTACGTATGGCCGGCCATATATCTCAAGAGAGACCGTAAATAAAGATGCACGCTGTCGCTTTGTGTTTAATATAAAACTCAATTCATCTTCTGCATAGTGAGTGATAGGTCATGTCCTATAATAACGGTTATTCTCTTACTATTTAGGTACGTTTATTGTCGAACGATGTTGTAACACAATTTCAAAATCTTCTGGGTGAAAGCAATGTCTCAATAGCTGAAACTACGCGCCAGCATCATGGTCAAGATGAATCACCATTTCCTGGTGCCATGCCTGATGTAGTAGTATCTCCTAAGAATACGGAACAAGTGAGCTCTGTCGCTAAAATATGCTACGAGCGTAAACTACCAATGATACCGTATGGCACTGGAACTGGGCTGGAAGGTGGCGTTTGCGCTGTAAAAGTAGGATATCAATGCAGTCTTTATGATGATAAACAATAATATAAACCCTATGCTACTCGACTATATACGAGTGCTGTAGGCAGTATATTGCGCTTTGATTGAAAGTTGATTGCAATGCGTAATTACTGTACTATGACGATCTAGTCATTCGAAGGGTACATTGTAAATTTAGATTAGATTATGATACTGCAGTGTTAACATAATATGCTAGCGTATTTAATAATATCCGCTAAAAAATAACTCTTGTTAACAAGGGTGGCGTATGTCTGGACTTAAGCCAAATGGAAGAAAGTATAGATGTTAATATGAGCGACCTTGATGCAACCGTAACCGCTAGCATAACGAGGATTGCCTTAAATAATTATTTACACGATACTGGGTTGTGGTTCCCTATAGGTTGTGTATAAATTTCTACTGTGTCAACTTATTTTCTCATAAATCTACTGGTTCGGTCAATTAAAGCGTGATGGTCTATAAAATTTCATAGTTTGCCTGAAACTGTTCTCACTATTTTCCGATTCCCTTCATTGTAACAGATCCAGGTGCTGATGCATCATTGTGCGGAATGGTAGCTACCAGTGCATCTGGCACGACGGCAGTAAGGTATAGTCAAATTATTGATCCAGTTTTAGTCAATTGGAAAGTCAACTGATGTTGTCACCTCATCTCTACCGTTTCTTTCTTCTAAATACTTTTCAGATATGGAACAATGCGCGAAAATGTAATTAATCTTGAAGTTGTTCTTGCTGATGGCTCTATCCTGCATACAGCTGGAAAGGGGCTACATCCTAGGTAACTGATTATTTTATACTATTACGAGCTGTAAAACATGTTATCGAATCTAAATAACAACAAATGACGTTATGTGAATTATAGAAAGACCGCTGCTGGATACAATTTAACCAATCTATTCGTTGGTTCAGAGGGTACTTTGGGCATAATTACCAAAGCGACTTTACGCCTATATTCAATTCCAGAAGTAGGTTTCAGCAATGTCTTATACACCGTATAACCCTTAAAGATACTCATAACCTTAGACTTACAAGACCGATTGAAGCCAAATACTGTATTTTTCAAACTTTTACAGAAAATGTCTGCGACGTGCTCGTTTCCATCAACAGAAGATGCGATTAACAGCGTCGAGCAGATCCTACTATACAATGTACCCATCGTTAGAATTGGTACGCATTCATAATTTAGACATTTCCATCTCAATGTGGAACTGTGCATGCTGTACTACTCTCAGTAAAAGCTACAGGTAAACATACTACAAATTCTGGTAATAATAATGATTAATATTGAATATGTCCTGAAGAATTTCTGGACGAGAGTGCTGTTGACGCATGCAACAAATATTCCCACTTGGACCATCCAGTACAGCCTATGATATTTTTAGAGTTTTACGGCTCGAAAGCAGAAATTGAGAGTCAAGTTGATATTGTCGGTATGTTTAACATCGCTTTGATGTATCTAACTGATATATTTCCGTAAGCCAATGCCGTAGAATCTTATACAAAACAAAAATATTTTTCAACCATTACAGAAGAAGTTATAAGCAGCCAAAATGGAACTGAATTAAAGTGGGCAAAAACAACTGAAGAACATAGTAAGCTTTGGAAGGCTCGTCACAATGCCTTATATGCTGCCAAGGCTTTGAGGCCAGGATCAAAAGTACGTTTAGTAACAGTTATCGGTTGTACTATATCCTATATTGAAGTATTAATGATGGTTCTAGGCAAAAATTACCGATGTTGCGGTACCGATATCAAAGCTTGCGGAAATACTAACGAAAACAAAAGAAGAAATCAAGAAAGAAGATCTTCTTTGTAGGAAATGATACTGCTGTGGTTGCATACCTTACAGTTCAGTCTATGAGGCAGTAAAATTAAAGTATTGTTGCGTTTCTAATGTTAACAGGCTGTATTGTGGGACATGTTGGCGATGGTAATTTTCATTGCTTGGTTATGCACGATCCCTCAAATCAGCAGGAATTAGAGAAAATAGAGGCTTTCAGCTCAAAATTAGCAATGTAAGAATAACAAAAAAAGAGAATTCCTAATTTCTAACACGTTGCTATTCCTTACTATTTATCTATCACCTTGCCTCAACTTATTGTGTATATACCCACGAAATTTCGTATGATGATTACATGATGTTATTTTAATTCATTACCGTGTGCAGATTCGCTCAAGATCTAGGTGGGACATGTACCGGTGAACACGGCATCGGACTTGGTAAAATGAAATTGCTAGAACGTGAAGTAGGAAATACTGGAATGTCGGTTATGAAATCAATTAAGAAGGCCTTAGATCCACATAATTTATTGAACCCTGGTAAAATTTTGAAAATTTAACCATGACATTTTATATACTACAAAATGTAATGCCATTCCAATCTTTCAGCATTTGCCAATTATAAAATAACTCTCTATCGATCAATATATATTACATTAATCCATGTTATCTATCCTTACTAACACACGTCCTAAAACATTCTTTTGTACAAAATCGCCAGTAATTGCGTTAGTGCAGGATATTCTTAGTTGCAGTATCTTATTTACCGTTAGATTATTACAAAATTTAGGTCATACCGTCGAAATTAAGCTAAGTGAAATAGTCTTATCTCAAAGTTAGAAATTAAATATTACAATACTAGATCGTAAATGAAGCCTGTTTAAATTTAAATATTTTAATTCCTTAAATCATATAATTTATGAAATGCAAAAAAATGTAATAGCAATAAACATGCTTAGTTTTAATGCAACATCTGCCAGTTATTGCTTAACCGTAACCATATCTTTTGTGGACTATGTACGGTAGCGCTTTGGGTTGTAATCGATAGTATCCTAATTGTCGAACACAATACTAATTACAACATAAATATAACGGACTAAGTCGCCAAGCGACATCAATATCTTTCATCTCGTGCAATATTTTGGATTTAGATATAAAAATATTGAAAATAAGTAAAAGTTTTTAAAAGAAAAATTTCTTGATTAAATAATGTAAATACCTAGTCATTGCAAAACACACTGCTAGGGAAAACATTATAATGTGGGACCGTACTTGAAGACGAGATAAAGTAACTTTACCATAATGACTGATACCGTGATACGCATAACGCATACAGTATATGGTATACTTATAAGAACTGTATAATTAGCCAAATCGCAATCGTATAGAGTTACAAAAATTGGTAATACAACTAAAAGGTACCCATGGCCTTAAGGACTTAGCACTGATAGCAAATTTACGCTAAATACGGTAGACATTAATTAGCAGAAACTGTGCTTACTTAAATCTACACTGAATTAAAAACTACTTCCATAGCACAATATTGCCATTTAATAGCTACCGCAATTTATTAGTGTTTGCCTTGCGGGTATTTTAGTATCTCTTTAACCAAAATTAATATCAATCGATCAATTTTCCGGACTCTTTATGATTATCGAAGTCAATGAACCAATACGTAGAAAAAAATCTTGCGCTCATAGTGCCATATCCACAACTAATTCTAGCTACTAGGACACTTTCTTGACTTAAAGGCGGTCAGAATTTTGCTTATAAACTGATAATGTAAATTGCTAGTAACTTATAGGTTATTGTTATACCTAAAATTGGTTATTACGGAAAGAACATCTAGTATATTTTTGAAATAGTATGAAGGAGAGCGTATTCATTTTGGCATATGGGCTTAAACTAATGGTAGTAGTAAAAGAGCTATGCATAAATTTTTGGCATTATATTCTTGTTAACACTAGTTCCGACTAAATATTACATTAAAAGTAACTATAAAAACGAAATTGTTTTTCGATGATAAATAAGTAACTGATGATCCTAAAGTAACAATTACAGTATATAGTCCTACAGTACCAATATACCTGTATATAGAATGCAAAAGTCTATAAAGAATGAAATTGTGTTATAATAATCTAAAGAAATAAATGTCACGTACATAATTATAACCGGCATTAGTATTAAAAGGACTCTATTTTAATAAGTTACTATACAATACATAAATGCAATAACGCAATTACTGTATTACCGTTACAATTCTACTGTATAAGTGATATTTCACGTTATAATAATATTCATACCCCTGATTTTATTTTCAAGTCAAAAGTACCATATATAATCACAATCTTAGAGTTAACACAATCTGAAATGTTTCACTTAATACTGGCAAAAGCCTTGAATACTGTCTTAATAAATTACTGATATTTTATACATTCATTATTATAATATTAGTTGAGGTTATTACTAATTAATAAAACAAATCTTTACATCAATACAATAGCCCAGCCATGAATAGTAATCATTACGTCAAATTAGTCTGCAAAGTTTAAAGTAGCTATAATTTCCAAACGATATTCTACCGTCATTAGATATTAACATAAATTGGAATATCTAGCAGGAGTAAACCTCAGGAATAATATTATATCATTGTCACGGTAGTTTGTCGCTGTAAAAATTAAATTAGTGAAACCTATGTTAAGACAATTTCGATAGCTTAAGCTTGTTAAGAACTATTGAACATCAAAAATCGCGTTGAAATACTTCTGGACGGTAGAATTGAAGTTAACATCAATATAGAGTACGTGGAATTATCCCGTTTACAGCTCAAATCATCGTGATTGTGACTACTTTACAGTAGATTGCACATGGCCACATAAATGCTTCGCAAAAAATACGTATATTGCAATCTGATAGTTACACATAAAAGGTATTATCTGATATTTTTTGAAGGTAATGGATACTGATTAAGACATACCAGCAACAACACTTATAGAAGAGTATAGGGGCGCGGTGTAACATATAATAAAGAGAGTTCTTAAAATTAGTGTTTAAACATAAACTACCAGGTGTCTAATTCTTTGCGTTGTCTGCTAGCAGAGGAAAATTATTCCTGATAGTATAGATAAGTAGTGCGGAAGTCAGCTTCTAGATCGTAAATTACATTATCACAAGCTGTTTTATAACATTCACAGGCCTATACCGCGATCTAAGCGTCATTAAGCACTGGTAGTTCTTGAACTTCGTAATTTTTCACGAAGATTCTGTCCAAAAAGTGCATAAATCATTGGATGTATGATGGTAGAGATATTAGCTACAAATACACTCCAAAAGAGTAATTCCTTCTCCCAGCCAGAATAGTAACCACTGCTGAGTTCTTTATACATCTGGACGGTCCAAACGGGTGTCCAGCAAACTATAAAAACCAATGTTATGACAATAACACAAATTACAGCGCGTTGCTTTTTACGCATCACATTACGACTTGTAGTTATGCTTGCTCGAATTCTCAAGCTGACTTTAAAATATGAAAGTATCACTATCATCAGAGGTATAATATATAAAGCAGTGAGTTGAAAGACCACCATTATGATTTTAAATATATTCGATCCATAATCGCGAATACAGAAATGCGCTGTTAATGAACCATCTAAAAATACGAAGGCTTCTTCACGTAAAATATACAAGTATGGTGTCATAAGAACGGCTGAAAGGACCCATAAGCCAATGATGATATTTCTTGTACGATCAGGAGATTTACTCCGATAGAGTGGTCTACAAATAGCAAGGTAACGATCGACTGCAACAGCCACTAACGTTAATTCTACATTAGTTATAGCCGTCAATCGAATATAATTTAATAACTTACAGGCAACAGGACCAAGTATCCATAATCCTTTATAATAATCAGTCAAGACATTAACCGGAATATAAAATAACGCTACTATTAAATCAGCAAAAGCCAAAGATATAATATATCGCTCGTTTGTAGGTACCTTAAAACGCTTATTTTTAAGCAAGACAACAATAATACCAATATTGCCAATCATAGCAAAGAGTAATAATATCGTATTTACAATCACTTTACCGACCATTTCAGAAGGAGATTTCACATATATATCCCAAATTGTTAATGATGAAATATTATGCGCCGACGACATCGTTTTATGCGCTTGTTCGACCTTTGAACAAGATCTCGGATAAAGAATAAATTTAATTCAGCTAAAATTAATTCAGTAATTGAGTAGCTTGTCTTAGAGATACAAGTAATATCAGACGAAGGATATTACCTCTGTATATTTATTCGAATTTTATTTAAAAGATTGAGTGGACCAATGTATAGAAATATATTATTGACAGAAATGAAGAAGGGATTAATAAGGCAACGCACTATAACTGTAATAATCTGGCAATTGCAGTTGCAAATACATATATATACACTATCTATGAAATAATAGTAGACTGAGAATAAGACAATAACCATAGCAGCAGCTAAGATCAATGCTTCCTTGATCATCAGATGGTATGGCGGAATAAACAATAACTGACGGCAAGAATTAAATCAGTCTGCCAATCAGAATATTCCCTCTTCGATAACATAAATCTAATTTATATCCTATCAATTGAAATAAAATTAGAGGAGAAAATTGTTTTATTCATAAACTTTGTTTGCCACACAAATTAAACAATCAATATGCAACCTATCGTGACCTAATCTTAATAATACCTTCCTGATAAAGCGACAGTATTAAACTATTTACTAATGTACATTCAGCAATTATTATTAATTCCAAATTAGAACCTTCATCTAATTTTCTCTTGCCTCTTCCGAGTCAATAGCTACACTTCGATCAACATAATACATATGGCATCGAAACCAATATTTCTCTATTCTATTTTAGAATTTATGAATAATAATGAATGAACTGATGATTGACTATGTTGTGGCCTGATAAAATTAATCAGCAATGAGTTACGACATATTTCAATAGGTTTAAATATCCTATACTCGCCATTGATTTGATTTTACCACAAATTCAGCTCAGAATTAATCTTTCAAGGACTCCTATTGAAGTGAATGAAAAGTTTGGACTTTCATTTTTTAGCAATTTTATGTTTTCTGGATAAATTGAATCGATAAAAGGACAGATTCAATAAAGATTTTATATGCATCAGTCAGTTTAAAATCTAAAAAACATTTTATTTAATGATTGTCCGTAAGACATCATTATCGATACATGTTAGTTAAAATGAAATTAAAGGTAGATAGTCAAATCTTTAACATACTGTAATTAGTTACGGTAGGTTATGTAGAAGATGAAATTATTTCTCAATTAATTTTACTTATAATTTTCAATGATTTTCCAATCATATACTGATTAAGTTAGACTAAAATTAAAGATGTGGTCTGGTGACTTTACGCAGAAAAACAAATAGTCATCTTAGTCTATGGTATTTTGTTCAGCAAGCCTATCAGAATCCTACTTACTTTAATTTAGAATATCTATATACTAATAAATGCTAATTATCTTCCCTTAGTATAAATAAAATTAATATTATTCAAAGAATTCATAGAATTATTTCGTAACTAGAATGGACTGTTAGAAAACCAATAATAAATTCACTTCAGTTTCCGCTTCTAAATAACACCAATACATTTACCAGACATTGTATAAATCGCAATTACAAATACGTATAGAATGGAATCACTGCAAAACAATTGAAAACGATAACTCATAATAGATTAATAACAATGGTTGCTAAGGTATATAAAATAAATTTGGATGTCACCATAAAATGAACTAGTTCCGATAAATTGAAAACAGAGGCTTCTTCTACTCTGATTCTTTAATAATTCTTGGAATAATATACAGTTCACGTACATACTTCCACCTTAAAAGGTATAAATGATCTTGATGTTATAATATGAATTTACGAGATATCGAACAAACCAAACAGACAATAACTTAGCAAATGGACTATTGACTGTATAAAATCGAATTATACTGGTTCCAATATAATTCACCGACAGCTTGTAAATTAATACGATCTTCCCCAGCCTAATCTACATTTTGTTAACTTCAATAAATTTAATTGTATAGGTAATTTTTTAGTCTATTTATTTCAATAATATTAGAACGATAATCAACTGAGACTAGAATATTTCACGTAATTTCTATTTTATTGTTAAGATATATTTATTGTAAATCTTGGATATTTTTTGTTTATCTCAAATCTTTTGTTTTATTGATTTTGAATTTTAGCAATATTCTTTAATTGATAAAATAATATTTGTTTAGAGATGCAACAAAATAATAGAAAAAAGGAATCGATATAGCCGTAAGGCACTATAATTACCATGACACAAGTAAATCGCTATAGACTACTGTATAAGTAGCAATTCTTGTAATAACAACGTGGTACAACTTGGACATTAATATAACTTTTAATTCCAGTAAATTTAGTTACTAAATAAATACCATCATTGGTCACCATCATTGCATCATATTTTCTTTAATAGCCTTGCCTATAAAAATCCTTGTAAAAGAATTAGAAAATGCATGAACCAATATCTATATCTAATAATCTTGTCTACTTGCTATCGTTACTATAATTTTTTATCAACTTGCCATCCTCATTGCCATTGTTATTTAATAAACCCTAACAAATGAGAACTTTGAGAAAGAAGAGCTAATCTACTTTGCTCTTTGACACTTACTGTGCCTAACTTATTGCCGCTTGATATGCAGAGAATCTCAATTTGCAGTCATTATCCTGCCTCTACAGAAATCTTATGTCACAAAGGAGTAATTTTGACTCGTTAACAATAGTATATTTTACTCTCTGACACTATTCTGAGTGATGTTGTTTTATTAAATTAGTGCTTCAATACGGTAGTCTTCGTTAGTGTAAAGTGCAATGGATTATTTACTACAACGCGTAGAAATATAAAAATCTTTAATTATGATTTAGTACAACAGAATTATTGCAATTGTTCTCATAATTTCGCGAAATAAGGCGTAACGAACTCATGAATCTGAATCATAAGCAGAATTGAATTTTTACCCTGATTGACGTGCAATATTCATTTCAAATATCAAATAACTCATCTTCCTTAACGTTTAGTTGATTCTTAATCTGCGCAAATTCGTAGCATCTCTACCGTGCAATAATTTTAAATGCTATGAATGGCTTTGAATATCGATGAATTATAATAAATACAACAGAAAATTAAATGTATTGCTTCTAGATAGTCCTGCTAAAATATACAATTTCGCGCATACTTCTTTATTCCAGTAATACTATCGATCACGTAGATGCTTTATTGTGCTACAGATTGTAAAATGCAAGCAATATATCACGGTCCATTATATCATTAATACATTCATTTATTGCCTTTTAATCGAAGCTCAATAAATTTTAAAACAAATTTAAATCATTTAGTAATTTCATACTGTTTCATTAAAATACGTAAAATTATCACGGTACTGCGTTACTATTTAATTAATTATTAATTCCTGGATAATGGATGCTTTAAAATAGTCTAGATAAAGTCATATGCTATGTTTGGTGTTTAATTTTGTTGGCCTTGTAGTTAATACTGCAGTAATAGACTTATGATATAGAATACAAACCTTTATGAGCAAATTCACTCTAGATTGAAAGGTGTGCTGAGCTCTAATAATTGAACTACATATGATTATTTAACACTGAAATTCACTGTAGAAATCTATTTAAGAGTGTGGTTGTAAAATAAAAGTAGAAATTGCTAAGAAGTGTGCAGAAGTCGTAATGAGAAGAAAAGTGTAGCAATTAACCAGTTGCCTATGAAGTATAGCCGAGAAATCGAGTTCTCATATATTGCCCGTGTACAGACTAAAAATATTGAGAGAAATAGCTCGAGTTGTCGTACCTACACTACAATTCTTTACAAATCTTGCCATAAGTAATGGTTATTATAAAAACATGCGCCAATTTTTTAAACTTAACCATATTGAATATTCTCTTATGTTACAATAGGCTTAATATTTAACCTAGTACTATGAATCTAATGTGTAAGGAATACCGCACGTTTACATAACTGCACAGTAAATATATGGTCTAATTCTTTATGATTAGTTTATACACAATATCAATCAAAGTAGTTATAAAAGTCAATACAAGAATGAAACGTAAAATCAGAGATAGTTATTAGTTACTTGGATGACAAAAAGTGTCTATATAGTCTTATAATAGATCAAAATTTTTTATTGTAATAACCTTAATAACAACTTGGTCAGTATCGATCGTGGTTTCTAAAACAAGATATTACGATCAAGCTTGGCAAAATTTTCTGACTTTAGCAAAATTTTAGTATGATTGGAATAAAAAATTGCAGATATATCAATTGCCCTAAGTTGTCAAACCTGCAATCTACAAGTCTTGAGCATAATTTGAAGCTTTAATAATTGAAAAATATTAAAATTGTTGAAGTTTATTGAACTTACAATTTTTAAACTACATTAGAATACACTTATTGCCGATACACTCAATTTTTTATATCAATTATCTTTTAGTAGTTCGAGCATTATTTCGGATATATCCAGGACCATTAAGAATCCATTATCGTCAATCCCTAAAACAGGATGTTGGAAAAAAATAAATTTTTCAATTATCAAAACTTACTCAATTTTTAGTCAATTGCTATTAATGCTTACAAATTGCAATATTAGACCAATTTGCTAACGATTGGCATACGAAGCTCAAAAGCTCTACAATAAAAATACTCATAGTGTGAATTCTAAGTAGCGTTAAAGTACTGAAAAGAAGCCAATTTATCAGTCGGATTAATTAATTATGACTGCATTATTCCTCATAAATCCATAATCAATATTAATCTAATTTTTCAAACTAATTTCCGTCTAAAAATAGTAATTTACGTAATAATTATGGGTATTATAGTAGCAGAAATAAATACAATACGTCAGCATAGTAAAATAATAAGAACTATTAGGTTCATTAAACTGAAAGAAATCATTGATTGCGAGGTTGTAATAATCCAAATTACTAAGAATTAATATGCTATGTATTATTATATCATACTATTCTGAATATGATTCATTCAATCATGCCATTGTTCAAAACATCAACAATTTAAATGTCAATATAAACATTTTTATACATTACGGTACATGAAACGATAGTTAAAATTTCAAACCCACATCTAATTACTACTGTTTATACGAACTACTCATATGTGAGTACACTAATTTCAGATGACATAATAGGATATTTACGGTATTCGTTCAATGCTAGAATTTTATGATTTTTGGTAAGCACAAAATTATTGTTTGAAGAACATAGCACCGTCTTCTATCATTTAAAGTTCAATATTGTACGTACTCCTTTCCTTTAAAAGTGCGCATAGAGTAAAGGAAAACAAATATTTATAAATATAATAATAGCTACAATGCTAACCTTACAATACTTTAATTTATTTAGCCGCGGACGGTGGAACTATTTATTTTTAATTGCTAAAGGTACAAAATAGTTCTAATATGTCCTCTAGTTTTTTCATATTGTCATATGATTAATACATATTGCATAAGTGTTAGGCAAGATCTAGCTTTTTGATGCAGTTTTATTAATACAGTTAAATATCTGGATATGTATCATACTGTATATCAAAATTTTCCAACTTTATCGGCTAAAATTACTACAATATTCTATAATCTATCTATCGATAGAAATAATCTAGCAAACTGATTAATTTTTATTTATTTATAAATCGTACAACCTGTGAACCATTTCAGCTATCATTTTCCTATAAATAACATTGAAGATGAAATGTTAGGAAGGAAGGAAGTACTATATACGGTAGATCTGAAATGTTTATCTCAACTTAAAAATTTTTATTCATTATTATAAGGTCGGAAAGCGATAGAATAAAGACCTCTGATAACGGTTATTAATGTCGCAAGGTCAGCCCGAGGATATGTTTAAAAACCTTTGATATTTCATTCATTTTTTAATTTATGGCCTTAAATTAAGAAAAAGTTTTCTTGAATATTCGTAGGGCCTTCTCTAAGTTCATAATATGCATAAATTTAAGTATACGAACATATAAAACATCGTCGTAGACTATCGTAACACATTTAACTCATTTCATAATTTAAGACTGTAATTTAACATACAAAATACGAAAAATAATATCATACTTCCTAAGCACTTACAATGTGTACGTAGACAGTGCTCTTATTCTTAAGCCATTTCTTTTGTCAATCAATAAGAATACATGTATATCCTGTTCTATGTATAACAGAACTTTGGTTTCTTTATGCGATCAAAGAATATTATCAAACGATGAAACAACATAACAAAATTACTTTATTGCTCTATCTAATAGACACTTATCATATGAAACAATGAGATCAGTCATTAAAAATAAATGCCGCATCAGATTAAGCTTTTCGTAAATTATATCAATAAATAGTTCTGATATTTAGAATAGAAAGAAATACAACTAACTAAATTACTTTAAAATTTAGATGATTTTGTGTATTTGAAATGAATTATCATTAAAATAACCAGGCAACGGATATAACATTTCGTCTATAGCACTATGTTTTTATAAAGTAAATTTTCCCAAACTTAATGATTATCCATTGAAATCCGCACTATTTGAACACGTTCTGTAAGATGACAGGGTAATATTTCTTGTGTAAAATAAGCTATCCTGATCTATGTTACTTTAAAAATGTTTCCTTCATCATTTTTCCTGAGACTACACAAAGTAATAGTCATTTGTAGTTAGCCATGCTATTTAGTGTTTTTCTATGAAATATGATTTAATATCGCCAATCGTCTACTCTCATATCTTTTACCCATATTAAGTATGTCAGTTGTATAATAGCGATTTATGAAATCTTATGCAGTACGTCTTCAATAATTTTCATTAGAATAAGGCAGCATTTTGACAGTAACTTGATCTGCTAGCTACTATCGATGTTTATTTCATCTGTTTTTGGGAAATACTTATATCAATTAATTATGATCGACGGAAAATCATATCATTTTTATTATTTTCATATGCAATATAGTAATGTTTCACCAATATACTAATTTAAAGTCTATTACTAATATTTGTTTAATTTGTGTTCAAGATATATTCTGATTTTAATTAGTTTGTTTAAATGTATTTTCGCAATCCAACAAGATTTACATGTTGTAATTTAGCTTAATAATCACGAAGAAATAAAAAGAAAATTTGATAGTTTTCATTGTCAATTGAAGAGTACGTTACTAAATCTCAGATTTATTAATTAATTTGCATAAATTTTAAGCTTTGGCTTTTCCATCATACTCAGTCTCAATTTTATAGAGTCAATAACAAGCTAAATATTAAACAGCTAAAAAACGATCTATCTCACAAAATGTTAATTAAAGGATAAGGCTTCAAATAGTAGCAATAGTATCGCTTTTCTATATTCCAGTAAATGGATAAAAATCAATTAATTATCAGCTATTAATACGTCAGTATTAAGGATTTTATCCCACCAAATAAGTTGGTTAGCCATAATTTTTATCAACCAGTTTAGACAAGCAAAATGCCAATTCTTTAATATGATGAATATTATAAAAAGCGGCAAATTGTCGATAGTATTTACCCATAGCATTTACTATACATACTTGTCTACTTATGAGAGTCGTAACTGCGGCAAAGAAAACAATTTTCATTTATTTAATTAAAATACCTTAATTCCTTAAAGTGTATATTTAAATTATCAAAAAATGTTAAAGAACTTTGCTACTCCCGCGAATATTTCAATATTCGCTTCTAATTGTCCTGTTATACATGGACCGATAGTATAGGCAGACGACAATATAAACTAAAAGAAGCAGAAGCTTAAAATACATCAGCATTGCTAGTTTTGCAATACTATAAATCATGAATAAGAGAGTTTGATATAAGATGGATTAATTATGTGGGTATAAATAGCACAGTCAGAATTACTTCAAAATTTCAACTCATACGCTACGCTAAATCGCTTGTTCTGGCATAAAATACATGACCTTAATTAATATTGCATTTAATTATAGTTTGTAAACATCAACCTAATAAAATGATGAATAAGACAGATCCAATGCAGTAGTAAGATAAGCATAATTTTTATACTACTGTCTTAGTGCCAAGTCTTAGAATTGATGTAACTAGCTAGTTATATTACTCGTGATTCATTTTTTAATTTAATTATAAATACCATGGTCATATTTTCGTCACGACATAAAATTGAATAATATGAAATGTAGTAATTAATGAAGAGCTTCTATCCCTGGCTAAAACTAGGATAGTCATAACTTGGCCAACTACGTTGATTTATAGCCAGTAATTACATGTATAGATATCACACGTACAGTAGGTTTGAAAGCATAAATGGAATCGTTCAATTTTTGTGGTTAATAGAGGACTAGACAACCACTTAGGCCAATGGCTAATTCTAGCGAATTGTGGACATTCGTGTCACGGTTTGGCTCTTTTTAGATTGGAATTTACCTCCAGAAAATGCATAGGCAATAGGATGCAATACACTGCATGAATTAGCAAGACATACGACCCAAAACATTACCTCTTTTTCCTCCGTAGTAAATGTCTGTGGACGGGAATCAAAGACTATTTGCATAGTCCATAATGGCACCCAAAGTAGTAAAAATAAGATTGTCATAATTGTAATGGTGGTAATAGTTTTTTTCCTTGCATTATCGATTTTCGATGAACCCTGGCGTACTTCATTGACCGGATATTTAATGGATTTCCATATGCGTAAAATAATTCTGCTGTAACAAAAAACTAATATAACCGATGGTACAACGCAAAGGATGAGATAGTTGAATATAATCATGAAAGTACGAAATTCTTCATTGCCATATTTACGTCGACAAAATTGGACATTAAAATTGTACAATTTAAATTCATCGCTTTGGATAACGTATAAGTAGGGCGTCATGAGAGCTGCCGACAATATCCAAACGAGTAATATTGTTTTTTTGGTCCTTGCTTTGGAGCTTTCAAACTGGAATGAACGACAAATCGCTCGATAACGATCAATTGCTAATGCAACCAAGGTGAAAGCTAATGCTGTCATGGCTGTGGTCCTTATATAATTGATTATTTTACATCCAGCTGCACCAAAGACCCAAGCGCCTCGTAAATAATCAGATAACAAATTAATTGGAACATACAGCGATGTAACAAGAAGATCAGCAAAAGCTAAAGCGGCAATGTAATATTCAGCAATTCCAATACGCTTACTCGATTGACGAAGCAAAACTCCAATCACCATAGCATTACCACCGAATGCACCAATAAAAATAATAAGACTAACGATAGTTTTAGCTACCATTACATTAGCTGGTTTAACGAATATTTCTTCAAAGGTAAAATTTCTGGCCATTGGTATGGTGATATTTTGTAAAATGGGCGTTGGAGATGCCATCATATACTGATTTACCTGCTATATACTTCCTTTTTTGCAGGAGGTAATTGAGGAATAATTCTATCAATGAGTAAGTAAATATTTTACGTTGAAAATGGTTGATTAATCAACAGTATTTTTGAACTATTTTGAACTATTCGCTTAATCTCTTGGATGAACTAGCCAAGGAAATGATCAATATCGTGTCTTGTCTTCAATTTCTATCGAAAATAAATGAAATAGTATCCAAGGAAGTGATTTCTTTGATCAATAATTTGATTGACGTTGACTACAGTGTATAGTCTCGTTTACGATACGTCGATGTTAATGTTAGTAACTCTTCTTGTCCATATAGAAAGATTCTTTTTTCAATCGATACGTTCTCAAATTAATCGGCCACTCGTTAGAATATACAATTACTAGCACATTGTTAACATTCGTACGGTATAAAGGGCTGTCAAACTGATCAATTAAAGGTACGATGAGCAATGACGTGGAAAGCCAACTATAGATCGTTAATTGTTGACTAGACAACCTTGAAGAAAATGATAGGGTTAATTGGAATGCGCTGTTGATTCCAGCATAGGATCGAACTCAATCTAACTGGTAGAACAGCGTTGATAGTTGTCTGTAAGAAGGGAAATGGAGATAAAGATATTAATAAGCTACTACAATCCACAATTGAAGTAACAGAATATGCCTATATAATGAAATATCCAAATCTAGTCTATTTACGCTAGAGTTAACGTGCACAATTCTAGTTCATCGTTTATGGGTTAATTTCAATCCGTGAAAAATGGATATCAACAATTTCTATGCATAACATACGTACAGTAGTCGTAGACTGTCTTTAATTCATAACAATGAAATCCATTCTAAAAGATAGAATAAACTAACCAATAATAATCTGCTACCATAGCGATGTAAAAAGTTACAGGTTCTCTGCTGTTTTTTTCATATTTTTGATTGCATTTATTATTATCCCAGACAGAACTGATGTACGCCTTCTTCTTCGTCTTGTTTGTTCTACTACCAAACATAAGTCACAACGTGAGGTATTTTAATTATACCAAAGGGCTAACAATATTAAATTGTTAATGGATGGATATTATTGATCAACACTGTTGCATTAAAAAACAAGTGAATCAGCAGGGTAGTAAAATATTGAAAAGGTTGGAAGATTATTTATAGCCAGTGTTGTTGACCAATTTAGTCACGCTTTCAGCGTCATAAAAACTAGTCTATACTTTTATCATACATCAACCAATTGATCCAAAGCCTTCTCTTGACAATTAAGTCAAAGCTGATCTTTGTAGGAGTCCAATTGTGTTGTGGTAACCGTATCATTTATTTATAACTACATTACAGCATCAATAAGATAGCTTAAATTGTTACCGACATAACTACTTCTATCCTACAGAAACAATTAATCTCTATCCTAATTAATGACTTGGCTCAAGAACAATACATCAACTACTTTACAGAATGGCAAAATTAATTAATATACAGTATACTATTACGCTGTCTATTCCCTCTTGATGCAAGCAAATTTATCTTCTTCTCATACCTTCAATACGCAATCTCTTCAATATAGACGTTATAGTCATTAAATACTAATTCTTAAGTAAACACCTACCATCGCTACTGTATCCTATCGATCAATTACAGTCAACATAGACACGGATTCTATCAACGACGACAAAATTCCCTTTTTTTGTTATTGTAGCATACAATAAATTAACCTTTGATTAGTATTATGTAACATAAAAATGTTATTCATTTTCTCACGTGGGTTTATTTTCCACTTTACATTTAGTCTTGAAATTTTAGTGGATAAAAATCTAATTAACAACCCATTGTAGGTCGAGTAGGATGATTGCAAAATAGACTTCTTTAGAGCGATGTTGGTCATCATCATTAATAATTAGTTCAGTTTGGATTAAAGCTAAATTGAACACTTTATAATACCACTGTGTTAATAGTATTAACAAATGAACTTCTAATGAATTGATATTGATAAAAAGTTTGAATGATACAAGTTCTCAAGTTGAATAATGTCTGATAAAGTGATGGTAAAGGTAACAGCAGTACTGCTATTCGATTAAATTTCTTCTATGTACTCGAATAGATATCACAACTATAAACATTAACCTTGTTAAATTGATTATATTCTATCAATTTATGAATTTCAAGAGCCAGTATCGTAAGAAGTCCATGATGAGAAACGATTCATTACCCATCCTATACAACATCGCTTTTAGTTACTTAAGTAAAGGTGTGCAGACGATCTTTTTTTTTAAAGCAACAACAATTCGAAAAGATAGATTATTATTCTGAGCTATAGGTAGACAGCCATTATATGGCATCTATTGATGTATTGAATATACGCATCGCTATGAATAGTTGCGAATATTGTGATGAACATTGAAAAGAAAATCACGAGAATTGATGGAGTATAAAATGTGTTAATAAATACTATCGTTCTCTTCAACTTCAATCGAATCGTTTATAATAATATTGACTTATATCAACATCTAATATAAAAGCTACTTCTAGCCTAAAGAATAATAGCAAAATATTTGAAAATGAACATAGGGTCAATCATAACTAAGTAAGAGTCGGATAATAAATAGGATCCAATTCTTTGTTATAACCTTTGAAATCAAAATTTCAAAGCCAATAATCAAATGATTGCTAAACAAACACTTACACAAGCGGAAGAGAGAAGACTTCTTCCTTTGGACATTCTTTAATCAATTTTCTAAGAAATACAGTTATTATTTAACGTGATTCATCGACTCTAATCTCGTCAATGAATATACCCAACTAAGTTTTATCACAAAATTGTTATTGCCGGGTAGTACACAGAAAGTAATCTCTGTCATTACTATATTCTTTTCTTAATGGTTATGCTAGAACATACTATTTATATTATAATATTAACCAGTTGAGCTAACATTATAGCAATGAAAGTGGAGTAAGGAAATAGTACTCATAAAATTACTCTAAAAGATACATATTATCATTTTTGGAGCTATCAGCAATTCAAAAAATCTTCGAAATGAATTTCAGTAAATGATGATACGATTTTAGTTTTAAATTCAAATGTCATTATTGAATACATTAGAATTAGAATGAAAAATACCTTAAAAATAATAGCCTACTGCGTACGGAGCATAACTAGAGAGAAGAGAATGGGAATACGAGCTTTTCTGAGTTAGTAATAATATGATACATATACAGTATATTATAGCTAATCGTTATAGTATCTGAAGTGCATAAAGTAGCCGCTCTTTAACCTGGAATAGCGTTAATCAAGTTCAATTTCATAATTATAGCCATAAATTTCCGAGTCAAAAGTCAATAACAACCTAGTTGACTGTTAGTTATCTGAGATATAGTATGGAAAGAAATTCCTTAATTAATTAAGCTTCATTAACTGTCGCTCATGCTCGCTGAAACACAATTATGCATCCTATTAATAAAAAGTGTATAATCTATAATTATATTATAATGACAGATTATGTTTACTTTCCCCTATCTTGGATGGAATTAATCTTCTTGAGATTACTGTAATCAATTTATTCTTAACAATTCTACCTTAGGATTCTATATTAAAACTCACGAATACTGATAATTACTAACGAAAATAGCTCAGCTTTGATGAACTACACTTATGAGTTATAACTAGTAGTAATTTACATATCTAGTACTTATCTAAATCTATTGCCGAATATCGTAAAGAATATGGCAAAAAGTGTTTAACGCTCCGAGTCTCAATACTATCAGTAAAATCAACAAGAAATTTTTTCTCCCATTCCTTATTTAGGGACTTTTGCACATTGGACAGTGCTAATGGATTTTTTATGCTACTTTAAGTCATGGAGCCAAACGATATTATTTAAGAAAGGCTATTGCTAAAATTTTCTATGCTAGGAGAACGGTAAATCACTGCATCAGCGTTTATAAAGTGAAATTTTTGCATTCGTTCATAGATCACTACAAAGAGAAACCATCAACTATGAAGGATATCGAAGAAGATCTTAACCTGAAGAGAGCTTCTGAATTCAAGGTAATGGTTATCAAGCATTACCAATCATGAATGTTACAAAATAAGCAAGTAAAAGCAGGATTAAAGCTATAAAAAATCTTCTTTTCAATAGTAGAACAAGAATTTTTACTATTGACCATTTACGATATAAAGCTGTAAGATAAACGTTTTTGTTAATAGTGTAGGCACTTATACTATACATAGAAATTTAGCATTAAACTTGAACCAAAAAGTCTCAGCAGTAGGCTTGGGTGTGTATGAATTTTAATGTCAATACTGTAACTATTCTATTGGCTAACAAAACGATTTAGGATCCTACTGCGTGCGCCTTGCTGTCTCGAAGAATGGCCATTAATATTCTTATTCTAGCGCCATGATGATTGTTCTAATACTCTTTCTGCAGCAATCGTGATTATAGATTTGGCTTACTAAATCTCCAGCCAATCCATTCTTTTATTCCTGGTAATCGTTACATTATACGCTATCATGATCGACTAATACCTATAATCCATATAGATCCTTTCCATTGCGGTAGGTAATGGGTGCCGCTACTCGATAATCATGAATACTACATAAACTTCTGAACGTTCGATTGAAGCAGTTTTCCTCTAAGAAAAACGCAAATATTTCTATTTAAGAATAGATAAAAGTTTTAGCAGCACCGCAGCTATTGTATCAACTTGTTTATTATTGCGTCTATTTTAGTTATTTATTGACGCTTCCTTTAAATATTTTAATACTGAACAGCATTTCTATTGCAAAATACATATTCGCATTCGGTAGCTTCGTAGCTATCGTTTCGATAAATAATTCTTGTGGCCATTTTAGTAATTTCTCTTCCTGTGCATTCAATATTTTAGAATTGATAAAAGTATCAAATAAATCTTCACATCGTTTCACCGGAATGAGAACTATAATTAATTTGTAA